AGCACACCGTTCACTCGTTCTTACAAAACAAATAAAGGTCAGCTCTAAAAACCTGTCATCCACCAAAATTACGCCACTTCGAAGATCCATTTCCATTGTTTATTTGTGGTTTCCTTTAGATCGCTCTTTTTGTCTGCTAGGCTTATTTAACAAGACACTGAGTGCGGCATATGATTTGTGTTGTAAAGACTGCTTTTCCCAACAGCGGCAGAAAAGCTTCTCCGTTGTTGAAACCTTTAGGAAGGCTTTAGGAAAGTGCCTATGAGCTACTTGATTAAGCCTCCGTGAAACGACACTCCATCCTCATCAAACAAGAGGTACAACGATCGAATACGACGTTTGCTCAGCAGTTCTTCCGTACCACCAATGAGTAACTTTTCCGGCACGCAATCCGGCTTTTATGTGCACAAAGGGCTCGGTCAGAAAAGAACGATATAGATGCCAGCAATGTAAAAGCAGCTTCTGTTTGTCCTTCATCAAATACCCTACCATCCCACTTTTCTTCTGTTGCCTCAGATGAAGGGTCATTTTTCTCAGAAGAAATCTTCAGTTTTCTTTGAACCCCGAAAGCAGCTTCGGCTATGGGTCCAGAAGGTTTATCTTCCAAAGTACACAAATTTGGAACAAGTCAGCTATCAGGAATTATGACTCCCCTCATCATTAAATCAGTGGATGCTGGGGCTATTCCTGTCTACTGAAAACCCGTGGCCGCAGCTCCTATTCTCGAACACTCCATTTCGATTATTTCCTCCGAAATTTTTCGTCCCATTGCCATCCTTTCTTCTGCTCTCAAGTTGACCAAGCGTGCTATCCTAAGGCGACTGAGTTCCTTTTTTGTTGTTCCAAATGACCTCCAACAGTTTGCTTACGAACCAAATAGATACCATCTGGAAGCATTTGCTTCAGTTTGCAATTTCATTTCATGCAAATTAAGTAGTCCTATGAAATCAGTTCGCTGTATTTTTCTCGACTATTCCTCCGCTTTTGACTCGGTTCTCCGTTCTCTATTTCTTCAGAAGCTAGAGTATTTTGGCTATCCCGCTTCATAACTCCCGTGACAGAAAGACTACTTTTCCGACGGAACACAACGTCATAAATTGGGTGCAAGTGTCTCCAGTTCTTTGACTAAAAATTAAGTGTTCTTCAGGGTGCCTTTCTATTTTTCTTTCTTCTCACCACGTCAGCTACTTGGCCACAGCACCAACTACACATCCTTTTAAATACGTCGACGAAGTCCTGTTCTGTCGATCTATCTCCAATCGATCAGACTTTACTTTTTTCCGAGAATTATATAATATTCAGAATTGTTCGTCCCATTCTGGACTACATCTCAACATTTCGAAATGTTATTATTGTGATTTCTCCCCTTCTCGTCCCTCCTACCCCAAAGAGCAATCAGTCACCAACAGTGTCCCTACTTTTCAGAGCTGACTCGAACAGCACCAACTTGCATTGGTCTTCTCACATTCTTTATTGTGGTAAAAGACTATGTAAACTGTCTCTTCAAACTAGTAGGCTAAAAGAGCTTGGTACCACTATCAATCGTGTCTCTTTGATTTCCATGGCCTCTCTCATCTCCAAAGTTTGCATTTTACACACAATAGCCTGTGAAATATTCCCCAATAAAATATTTGAGGTCCGCACCCATCGCCCGTACCATGATTTATCTGCATTCCAAATTCCGAATTTAGACTTATCCCCTCCAGCATAAATGTCTGTCGCCACTCTGCAGTGCCTTAGTTGACAACAAGAAAGTCGCAAAGGAACTTCGCATGAGCCTCGGTGGCTGAACCAGTTTTATTTCTATAGTAATTATTTCAACGCCTAATTGAAAGCGACAGTTATCAGTGTTCCTCCTTTTGGATGAGATGTGAGTTTCCTAACTTGCTAAAATACTCAAAACAACACAGGTAGTGCCGAATGCGATGCATATGCGTGCATGATAATCACATTTTGTGCTAGTACACGACATGTAATTTTATACGTAACATAACTAGCAGATAATGGTAACTTTTTGTTACGACTACACTTGCGGTCCGCTTGTAAGCAGTGAACAGCTATGCTCAAAATTCAGGCAAAACCATATTCTCACTACTACCAGCGTGCCACGACCGTGATGAAATATGAGCTTCTGACGGAAAATGACACAACATTGTTTTGCATTGGATTAAGCCAAACGTTTTTATGAACACAGTATTCATTAGCAGAATTACGCATTTGGTCTACCATTAATATTCCGTTTTCTTTCACAGGCTGATCGACGTAGAATCCACGATGTTGGTGATGATATAGTTTAAGATCTTGTACTCCATGACATTCTGCACTTTTCACTCCAATGGCTATTGTGTAGGTAGTCCTCTGACTGCTCTCTTTAGAAAAAATACATTCTTACGATTACGTTTGTATCTGCGACATTAGAGGGTAGTTGTATGAACTGGACCTTGAAGTTGTGTTTACATTTGAAAGCTTTACACTTAATAAATAACAGAGAAGTCAATCTGCGTGACTTAAGATTACAAACCTCTCGTGTGAAAAAGCATGGAGCTTTACCCCGAAAAGAATAACTATATACCCACGTAACTTCCTTCTGTTGAATTCCGGGAAGTCTTCAATCATACCGGTGAAGATTTCCACAACACTCGAGGCATCTCAAATTGAACTCCAAAAATGAAGTTAAATTTGTTTTATTCCGATCCAAATCAATAATGGCTTTCGGCATGACACGTCGACTTCTCAGCAGAATAACTTATCGAGGAATATTCACACAACAAATGACATTTCTCCAAACCAACCACAGTTCATCACATACCAAAAAACACTCATATGATAAACAGGCTCATCACCAAAATGACAGGCCTCGTGATTTGAGTTTCCTGGTCAAACCAATACGTGCCCCCATTTGTGGGGCTTGTATTGCAGCCTTCGTATCGCATTGAAAACTGTCACGAACTTCTGTCCAAAACGTGATGAGACAGCCTGAGTGCATTATCACACTGAATTGAGGACAGGGATTTTGGGCACCGCTTTTTGGTCGTGATGCACAGAGGATAGGTTCATTCATTCCATTTGCTCGATCTTCCAGCTCTAAACTGTGTATTTGGGGTGATTTTTGATTGATTTATCCCACAATTGATGTTCCTGTTCGGGGTAAAATACTGAGCAACAAAGAACACACAAGATTCAAGATTAGAGACTCTTGCAGTGCAACTTTGATCCTTTAAGGGAGGTGCCGAGAAAAATCGGTTCCAGTAGATCTTCCAATCGCTATCGCGATGACCATGTAAGCGACCAAAGGATTGCACTTGAATGACCTCAAAGACAACGTTCTTATTGAGCCGTACTGAAAATTGATCTTTTCTGTAAGTTAGGCAGTATCCGTGGGAAATTATTTTTAAACCACATACGTTGTGAAATTGCCAAATAATGACTATTTTTTATCAACCTTATAATAAACACAGAACCATCAAGAATATATTGGCCGAAGAAACGTGTTCTACCAAATTATTCCGTTACTAAACCTATCTAAATATAACCCCTAATTGTTTATGTGGTCCTGTTGATCAGATTGCTCATATTTCCACACCGTGTTAGTTGTTAGCTTACTTTCCTCAGAGCTTATTACCCCACAAAACAAGGTCAGACACATTCAACATCCAAAGCGCAACAAGAAACCAAAGCCAATTAGAAGAACCGTCGAATAAATTAGTATCATTGCCCGGTGGTCTAATTTACCCTAATTGAGTCACGAAGCTTAAAATATAAACAGTAATGTTACATGTGCATCACAATTGACACTACCAGTGCAATATCATACCTATCCAAGTAAACACATCATTACGAGGGTGCGGTTTTATTCCAAATCCTCCAAAATTATTCCACTATGTTGGTTAACTAGGAACACATTCTCTATTATTTGCAGAGGGGAATTATATCCGGGTAGAAAAAACGCCATTAATTATTCAATTTCCTATTCAGAAATTCCACAAGGGTATTCACATTCATGTTGCTACAATAATTGTGTGTGGTGAATACTCCACCCAGTGGTGTTAATAACCGTTGCGTTCAATAGAAATGAGTTGTGATTTCGGATGGAAGGGGCAATTCCCCATTTGATTAATCAGTGGCCTGTGTGTCTGCACTGGTGACTTCGAATGACAGACGATACCTGATTGTCTACAGGCATCAAACAACGACTAAGTTGGTGCAGCCCCATAAGTTTCCGTTTTCCCTAAATCAGGCTCTGCGTTGTTGATGTTCAATGATAGTGCAGTGAGCACTCGTGATTATAGGGTATTCTTTTTCCTACCGCAGTCATGCATGAGCACGAATTAGAAGACACAACTGTCATTTCCGCAGTGAAAGTAGACAATGAAATCAATTCTTACCCCGCGAACACGAACCACTTAATCCAATCTCATTCACCTGTGCCAGAGCACAAATTCAAGGATCTGGCTTTTTGAGAAGTTCGTGCTGCGACCAAATAAAGAAGACTGTTCCCCGGTCCCATTTGACGCTAATTTTGTCCCACACAATCCACAAACAATCGTGTCCACCCATTTGCCTAAAGGGTGATCTAACCAGAATAAAAACAGTCGGAAGGTAAAATGTCAGATAAATTGCCAAAAAATAGCAGCTTTAGGAAATTCAACAATATTTTGAGACTGTCGGGTTCGAAGTGCAGGAAAGGAACATTAAACAGTGAAGCAGCGCTCAATATTTTGAAACTGAAATAATTTTCATTCTCATCAACTCCTTCGCGATATTCGTCTAAAGTCCAAAGCACCCACCCACGAGTTGAAATGCACAGCACATCACGAATAAGTGGACTCAGTTCATGAAGATAAAGCAGCATGCACTCCCACTCACTGATAGGTCGATTTCGATTGGCACACAGTAATCGAATATAAGACACCGTATTCTTGATCATTGCAAACTCAAGACTCCAAAGCACCACTCACTTATTGAGACCCAGCAAAAAACTGCTTCGTTTCGAGTCAGACATGACAAACATATGGAGATTTGTTGCGATTGTGGTCCTCGCCACCTGGATGACAGCTGAAGGTAAGAATCGCGTATAATGTGTCCCTAAGTTCGAATCTGCACGCTTTTTGGATACAATTTCAGAGCTTGTTTGGATGACAGAAGGAAAATGCATTACCATCCAGTTATTTGAGATAACAGAGAACTAGTCAAAAGAACTGATACAGGGCTTGCCAAACACGTTTGAATACTAAGGCGTATAATACGTATACAGTAAAACTTTACTTCAGAGTAAATGTAGCGAAGTATTTTGAAGACGGTTGTGTTAGGTGCTTCAAATTGAGTTCCAAAATAATAAAGAAATGGAAAAGCTTTATGAAGAAAATATCAAGAAGAAAAATCCGCTTTATAGGTGAATATAAGAAAACGTTGATGAGACCTTTGAATGAGAAAGGATAATAAAATTTATTGGCCGTCAGACTCGCATGACCTCTGATCACGGCTGAACATTTTGTTGTGAAATGAAAATATTTTCTATATTTCAATAGCATTTATCTCATTCTACCGCATACGCCAAGCACTTAAAATATTGAACTATTCACAGTGTCAGCTGAAGGGCCCGAACCCACGGAACCCACGGAATCCACTACGGAAACCCCAACTGAATCCACCACAGAACCGATCACGGAATCCACTACGGAAACCCCAACTGAATCCACCACAGAATCGATCACGGAATCCACTACGGAAACCCCAACTGAATCCACCACAGAATCGATCACGGAATCCACTACGGAAACCCCAACTGAATCCACCACAGAAACGATCACGGAATCCACTACGGAAACCCCAACTGAATCCACCACAGAAACGATCACGGAATCCACTACGGAAACCCCAACTGAATCCACCACAGAATCGATCACGGAATCCACTACGGAAACCCTAACTGAATCCACCACAGAATCGATCACGGAATCCACTACGGAAACCCTAACTGAATCCACCACAGAATCGATCACGGAATCCACTACGGAAACCCTAACTGAATCCACCACAGAACCGATCACGGAATCCACTACGGAAACCCTAACTGAATCCACCACAGAACCGATCACGGAATCCACTACGGAAACCCCAACTGAATCCACCACAGAATCGATCACGGAATCCACTACGGAAACCCTAACTGAATCCACCACAGAACCGATCACGGAATCCACTACGGAAACCCCAACTGAATCCACCACAGAATCGATCACGGAATATACTACGGCTACCACGACGGAATCCACCACAGAATCGATCACGGAATCCACTACGGAAACCCTAACTGAATCCACCACAGAACCGATCACGGAATCCACTACGGAAACCCCAACTGAATCCACCACAGAATCGATCACGGAATCCACTACGGAAACCCTAACTGAATCCACCACAGAACCGATCACGGAATCCACTACGGAAACCCCAACTGAATCCACCACAGAATCGATCACGGAATATACTACGGCTACCACGACGGAATCCACGACGGAACCAACGAGTAAGTGAACAATCATCCCCAAAATGCCCTCAATGTTTCACCCGGTAATACCGTCGCCGTTTATTCGAAGAGCCATACATCTTCACGGATAACATTTCGTGTCATGGGTACTCCCCTGACTTACTTTCTCTGTTAATACGTTGAATGATATTGACAAGAGTTAGTCAACTTAGTAAGGCGATTCTGACTGCATTTTCTGATATTTATAAAAAAAGGATATTTCTGTTCATTAGTGCTTGCACATATATTCTACTTTTGAAGTGTAGTTCATGGAACTATCGCAAGCTTGGACATAAATCTCACCATCTATATTGTGCTTTCCACCTGGATTTTCCTATAGCTCCCGGAGAAAAGTAGAGCCTGGGATTTTCTTTTGTGTACTGAAATGCTATGTTTCTATTCACTCACCGCTGGCTTGTTTTCAATTCGTGATCGATATTGCAATATAAATACATTCATCTAACAATCTCCACCTAACTTTTATACCATGAATCCAATAAACTGAATCTCCACTTTCCAAGTCAGGTTGCTATACATCAGTATCATCCTAAGATGTTCAGTCTTGGCTCAGTCCTACTTTTAATTTGAACTCGTTCCCTCCTGTGTTGTTTTCTACGCACTGCAAAATGAAGGCTTTTGACGTCGAGAGCTGTACTTAAGAATCAGTTCTTCATGACTTCCAGCCTGAGGGTACTGGTGGGAGGCAGATATCATTCTCAAGAGAAGAGTTATTTTCGAGGATCTTTCAAAAATCTTTCGGAAGAAACATATGCACATGTTCGCGGGTTTATTTTGTCCAGAAATACTGCAGGCAAGAAACGTTCATCTTGATTATGGAAAGACCCAATTATGAACTTTTCGAATCACCTAAAGTGGTCCATTTACTGAAGGTTTTACCCTAATGACTTCCATTTTCTAGTAGAATAATTTCATCTATTGATATTTCCATGAGTCTGTAAAAGGTAACTCGGAGGAAATAATGTCTATGGGTTAATAGATTCAATTTAAATAAACCCAAAAATTACTACACGCTGTTAAAATATGTTCCGGACAAACGTTTATACCGCAAGACTTCGGTTAAGTGCGCTTTTGGTTATTCTTTAAGAGACCAATTTTGGATGTACGTGGAGATGAATAATCGATTCACTTGATTTGGGGGTTCTACGGGTAACTTCAGAATTGGCCGCCGGGCTATGAGCACGGTGACCCAAATCGTAAACAGACAGCGAATGAGGAAAACAAATGTTTCCGCCTCAAAACCGTCGAGTGGACAAGCCCCGAATTGACCTGGGGGAGCCATCTTGTATCTGTAGTCATGTTTGCAATGGAAATGATTGCCGTAAGCAAATCCGATTTACCGAACGGAATGACTAACACACGCGTGTAGACCAGATACGAGAATCCTTTGGTGCTCCCGTGTGCGTCGGTCAGAAAAGTGCAGGATTCAGTGAATATCGATTCTCAGTTATTAGGCCAAGGCAGAACGAAAATAACGCTGAGGTCATATACTCATGTATTGATTCGTTTTTTTGCACCCACTCATCGGTGTCGTTCTTTGAAAGTGTAATCAGCACCAAATGTGGTCACCAACTAACTGCGTACATAATCCCTCTAAATCAAAGCGTATTCTTCCACAAGTCATCCTTATTTTATATTCTTTTGTCACAATTGGTTTGGCGCTCCATTATTTTAATCGTTACCATATGAACCAAAATCTGGCACAGGATTCTCGGTGAAATAAAATATGCTAATTTTCCACGACTATAGTTGAATACGTCCCACAACCCGATGTGTTGCATTTTCGTTGCTGACCCCTTCTGGTGGACGGAAAATCTCTCTATTCTTAGTGATGATAACGTTCTGTCTTGACCTAATGACTGAGAATCGATATTCACTGAATCCTGCACTTTTCTGACCGACGCACACGGGAGCACCAAAGGATTCTCGTATCTGGTCTACACGCGTGTGTTAGTCATTCCGTTCGGCTAATCGGATTTGCTTACGGCAATCATTTCCATTGCAAACATGACTACAGATACAAGATGGCTCCCCCAGGTCAATTCGGGGCTTGTCCACTCGACGGTTTTGAGGCGGAAACATTTGTTTTCTAGGCTTACCACTGATGCAATGATCTTTTTGGAATAATCAGTAAAATATTGTTTTTTGAAGTCCACTACAAGAACGTTCCCTCGTTTTTTGGATACATTATGAATATGCCAACCTCTATTGGGAACAGTCCATTAGTTTTGTACCTTCTCGGAACACTACAGAACGAGACACGAAGGATAAAGGTTTTCCGAATGGCATACCCGGGTGTATTTCGGACGAGTTTTACGAGATCTAACACTGATTACCACAATGTCATGCATCATGCTTGCCCCTTTTCCTTACACGGTGCAATACGGTCCATTGATATCCATCATGTTGAATGAAATTACACAAATATCGATGACAAACAGTAACAGATGCAGTCCGATCCACAAGACAAATTGTATTCCTTTTCACCTTCGTACTATTTAAAAGGTTTGATTGTGAGATGAGTCACGCGAAAAATGGTTTATTGCTAAGTGTCTCTTTAGCATGTCCGTTTACATTTGTAGTATGTGACTGATATGGCACAATCGAATTATGTATTATTTGTGGTTACTGTAGTATCATTAAGCAAATGAAAATGCCAGATTGGACTAAGGGGACGTTGATACCATTTGTCTCCTGGTTTTCTCCTTTTTATTTATATTTTTTCTGTTCCATGCTTCTGTGATCCTCCTTACTCACAGCTTTTTATTGTTGATTTTCACATATTTCCGGCTGGTCTCAATCTTTATAATACTCAGTTTTGGTGTGATCCGAATTGGAGGTACTGGATTACTTGCTTCCATCATGCTCTTCTACACGTGGTCCTCTGTAGGGTCGTATCATAGCACAGCTGAGTAGGTAAGGGAAAAGACTAAAATGTGACTTTGCATTTTATTGACGATAGGATTAAATGCACAGGGATCTGTCCCGAATGTGTCAAAAGCTGTCGAGGACTACTTGAAATAAGAAAATTCTCCATAATCTTCGATTTGCCGAACATTTCCCCTATTCGCTTGAAAATTGCCAAATAAAATATGCCAATCAAAATGTACTTTTACCTAGTTATATTGGACCAGTGAACTGGGTAATCCTTTTTACCACCATCACGAACTACCATTAATTATAATCTAATCTAATTCTACTTTCCTGTTCACTTTCGAAAAACTCAGTCTTTCTTATTCCAAGCCATATTCTCTCGCCAATACCTTCGCATCAATAATATGTAAAATAATAAACCCCTTCCAATATCCAATATTGCTGATACATTTTGGTATTTATAGATCAGTGTTTGAAGTACCACTCTCTATTCATTTGTCTAACAGAATATCAATAGTAGGCATTTATTTATTCTATGACAGCAAAGCTGTTCACAAAATAAATGTAAATCAAAGCTCCTATATGTCACCGAGAGATTTCACTGACATGATTCCATTTCCATCCCACCATTCAAAATAGAACCCGCAACGACCACCACTGCTGGTAAGTATGACCTTTTACTATATCTCGTCGGTCGAAATAGTATTACCTACTCAGAGAAAACACTTGACTTGCACCCGTTCTTTGTTTATTTCCTGTAACAGGTACCACTGGGTTGGTCAAAACAAATGCGCTGTTTTGGAGTTCTTTGTTATCGATTGCTATGATGTTGACCAATTAAAATGGAATCATGTAAATGCGCATGAAGCTATCGGGGAAAGACAGTTGCTAGACTGAACATTTTTCTTATTCACAAACATTGACACCATACGTATCTTGATGCTTCCGAGCAGTAATATAGTAACCACATCAAGGATGACAGTGATTCACAAATTATTCTTATGTACGCCGATTTTTCAAAAGCAAGCAATAATGGTAAACCTTGTATTGCTTTCCCCAATCACCCATTCTATTCATCAGTATTCTTAATTATGAAAAAATGCCCAATAATTCACATGCATTGATTCTTTATCATATGAAGGGATCACTTTTTCTCAAAGAGAGTTACCAGTCTCCAGAGTTTCTTTTGTTTCGGCCTACTGAATGGGTATTTGCATAATTATAAACAATTTTGTCATATAGTCCGGTTTTAATGTCATTGTTTATAGTGCATCACCAACCGCACACTGTACACATAACTTCGCGAAAGGACCTAAACTTTGTGGAATTGTAAAACTAGTTGGGGATTTTGTCAATTTTCATGAGTGTCCAGAAGAATTGTCCGAATGACAAAAGAGTAACCGTTAACTAGACTGTAAATGAGAACCCAAGATTCACTTAGGGCTCCAAGAAGAATCTCCACGTGTTGGTTTTACTTGACTTGATTCATTTCAATTTCCAACGTTTGCAAGCAAGACTCATTAGTAACGAAGCCAGAGAATGGCGTTCATCCAGAATATATTTCGAAAAAAAATTAGAGTCGTTCACGTTAAGTGGAATGCCGTTTAATCATGGTTCGATGCATAGATTGAAAATGGATTGAGAAAAAGTCTAACGCGTAATCGACGTTGTTCAGAGCGTAGGTGAATTTACCATAACTGTCATTCTGATACATGTAGCACTATGCAACAACTTTCAAACATGTCATTGTCTTATTGAACAGGTTTTCTTGTAAATCAGTCAACAATATTGTATTCTAAGTTGAGAGTTAACTCAGTGCGATAATCGCCACCACCATGAGAACGAACGTCAAAATATCCATGTGACTCCTTTTCTTGCACCGCACTGATCAGTCGTTATAATTGATAAACTTGGAGTGCTTCAATAATTGTTTCGTTGTTTGCAAGAAGCTCATAATGAACAGTGGACGAAGCTCATGCCTTATTCTCGATGTTGGTTAGTTCTCTGGACTGAGTCATTCCTTTCTATGGTTCAAACTGACGCCACTGTTCATCTCCGGTTATGATGAAATTACCAAATCTGTCTTTGTTCGAACAAGTAGACCTGTGGCAAGTAAGTCGTCTGGCATCAACCATACAACGCTCTAGTTCATTGCTTCCTTTCAAAGAATGTGGGACCGGAGCACCACTGTGTTGTCTTCTCTCGCATAGCATTTCCGTGCAATGCACAAATCTCACGAGCAGCTTTGACATCTACCAATTTCTACCCATTTAGAGTGAATGCAAATAGCAGCTTGTCAATAAAGGTTTGTTTGCAGCTTCATATTACATTTTGGTGCTTTGAAAGGACACGAAAATTGAGTCAGTTATAAACTGCAATGACTCATTCCTCATCCCAGTTTAAACTGTTCAATCATCAACGTGAACCGTTCCATGAATCCGAGTCAGTGAGACGCAATCAAATTCAGAGTGATTCGGAGTTCAAGTGGCCACATCAAACAGAATGTTCGTAGATAACCAGATCAGGCGAATGGGTCACAATCAACAAAGTATCAGTCATTTTCCGCCCCAGGGTCGGTAAGACAGATAGCGCGGAAAATCAATGGGAAACAGAAATAGGAATGAAGAGACATGGTTGATCCATCCTTAGGTCTGAGATTCTACCTCTCACTCCACCCGTCGAATAATGCACGGGTTTTCCTAGACTATAGAACAGAATTGAGTCCCAGATCCATCCACCGATTTACACGTCAGTATTGTACAGCTTCACTTGGGTAATCCGGATCTACATTATTATTCCTGCCCACAACTAGCATACAAACTTTCACACCTACCACACTGCAAAGTGAACAGTTCAATCTACCGTTTAAGAGATTTCCAGTATAAGATTAGGCGAGTAACACCTGTCCAATAGTTCACTGTTGATAAGTATGCCAGGCTGCTTACTGTATCGAGAACGTCTTCATCGCAGAATGCTTGTAGGCTCGCAATGTCAGTATCTGCTTTGAACTCGAGTACACTGGGTTTTCAAACTTTGGAACTGCTCGATTGAGTTTGTGAGGGTGTAAGCTGACCCCTCGTCGATAGGATAAAAGTCTATCAATCAGTCAGCCAGTCAGCAGCGGTCCAAAATCGAGGTCCAGAGTTGAGTGGAAAACGTGAAAGGATCCGATTCTCGGAGTGATGAATCAGTATAATCAGTATAATAATCGTAATTTCTTTAGCTGACAGCGAACCGGTCGGACATCAGATTTTCGGGATCACCAGGATATTTAATTCTATGGTTTATTGTTTCAACAGTCCTGGCGCATAGGTTCCTCGAGAAGCTGTTTCTGCTTGGCTACCTTCCGATAAAACATGTCACCACTGGCACGATAATGCGAACGCATTATTTTTGCCAATAAAATAATAAAGCTGGGGGTTTTGTTGAAAACCTGAGGACAGTAGATGAATCATCTAAAAGGAAGCTCCCAGTAAATCGTCATTGTTGAGACATTTAGATTCCATGTACTCGATGATTATCTATCTCTATCACCGGTAATCCGATTTGGGATAGGGAAACAGTCAATATCATATGCTACTGGATAACTGGCCAACATGACACACCAGGCAGCTTTAGAAAAAACCGACCTCTAAACCCGTTTCAAATTCATCTCCGAAAATGTATGGCTAGGGGTGAATAAAATTTTTTAATTCAGTAAAAGCGCACCTTGGATATTAAAAGTACGTAACTTTGACATGAGAATCAGTTAAAAATTCATCGATCTCAGTTGCCCGTCTCAGTCACTTCTTTCAAACCCAGACCGCCTCGGTTTGCAGGCAGAACAAACGAAACTCATTCCAGATTAGTGTCTCTCATTTGTACACCAGAAGTCTCGGTCACTCCAAAGGATGAGAATGATGCGAAGCTTGCACCGAGAAAAATATTCAATGATATTGAGTGAACAACGAAAGGCTTATAAACAAAGTAACATTTTTCTTCACATATATATATATATATATATATATATATATATATATATATAGATTATCATAAAATTCGTTTTGTAAAAATATCCCAAATTACGCTACAGTGGTGCTCTTCAATCTGGTGCCAAAGAACGCAATACCCGAATTGCTGGACATAGGTTACATATTACCTGCCTAAAATATATTTGAGAGACCCACAAGAAACTATGTTGACTGTCGTATGCACCACTAAAGACACGGTAAAATGCTTCGGGATGTTTCATGCAAACTAATGCTCTTCAGTTCCGTGTTCGTGGATTCCTAATGAATAAGGCGTCCTTTGAGATGAGAACTTATTACCCGGTAGGCTTAAACGTCGTCATTTTTGAGTCCAACGGGATGTCAGTGTATGTGGTGCAAATTATTTCTTTAAAACGAGCTGTAGAGCCAAGCACATCAATGCTAAAGATGCAATCCCTCTGGACCACCGGCTTTATGATGCATAAATATGATTAGCTTCCCATATAATTCACAGGAATAAATCACATATTGGTATGCACCTCTCTGCAGTCCTCTTTCAGCAATGGTGTAGTACACGGAGCCCTTAGTCTGGATGTGATATCACTCATTCGCTTCATTACCACCCACAACCACTTTTCTGTCTTACTTCATTTACTTTGTGGCTTTTACATAAATCGGACAACTAACAAGCACTCGAGTGATAAGTTGGGAATTTCTAACCCCTGAAAGAGGTTTACAGTGTTCTCGATTACGCTTTACGAACCAAGAGTGGCTTTGACGGATTCAACATGCGTGGATTTAATTGGCGTTTCCTCATGTGTATTGTAAAGTTTGTGATGAGGAGTGTTGTACTTCAGCTCATATATCATCTTGATTAGAGTTATACTCAGGACATGTTCCTTCTTCATAATCGTCATATTCATAAGCCAGCTAAATTGGAAACATTTTACTTTCTTCACTTATTTTAATATATGGCAATGTAAAATTTATGTTTGTGAGCCGTGACCAATCTAGGTCTGCCGAATGAGGAAGTGATTGATGGTAGATGGAATCGAACCCAGGAAGTCTCGGAACACATTCCAAGATGATGATCGTCTGACCACAATGTGGATAAGCATCTTTTGATTCTTTTGATCCCATCATCCTGTCGAAAGAATCATTTCACAATATTCATGCTACAGTGTGCGTTGATTATGAAGGATGACAGAAAACGTGATATTACTCCAATAAAACTCATTTACAACGTGATTCAATATAATCAGAGTATCAGAAAAGTTTCCGCGGAGAAGGTAAATATCATCATTGAAGGAGAATTCACTGAATCGTTTGTCGGATATAATGAAAAACTCGTATTAAAGCACTGTGATATACGAAGTGTACATTCTAAGGATGTCTCAAGTTTAATCAATAATACTTCTGTGACTCACACACCTTTACATTCCTGTGAAATATAATTGTCTTAAACTGAAGGCACATTTTCCCATACCTCATTTTAACTCCCAAGCTATGAACTTGCACTATCTTTCCAGTTACTCACATGCCTTAGATGGGTATCACTCTGACGGAACCTCAGATACACGCATACGTATTTGTTCTCACTTTTTGACTGGAGCTTTCCTAGATGATATTGTGATTGGTGCTTCAAAGGCAAACTGGCCCTCCATCCGTTTTCATGTTCGCGCATGTCTGGCTGACTATTCTGTCTGAATTAAGTCACGTACACTACGCGGACAACCGACCAATATTCCTCTCATTAAGGGACATACGACTTTATTGCCACTTTAGTCAAGTACTACACCGTTTTCCCATGTCTGCAGCAAACAACGCGGGGTTCCAAAGATCCAGTAGCGAACAATTTCCACTTAAGCGTTTC